GTTACCGAAATTGGTAACTTCTCGGTCATTTACTTTTATTAATTTACAAATCTCTGAAATTCATCGTTACACATTTTAACTAAAAATTACAATCTTCCCGCCATCTGAAATTTGTAAATTTATTCAGACGCTTCATTTAGACGATTGAATATTATAAAATATTATAAAAATGATGATAAGTAAGATTCAAAAGCTCAAGAAAATAAAATACAAGATGTTGGTACTCTGTTTTCACGACGTGTGATTCATTCAATGGCGTTGCGATCGATCGATCGCAATACAACATCGGCTGGTCCTGCCAAAGAGAGACCGATCGGCCGGGAAAAGGCTCAATTAGCATCGGATCAATTAGCGGCGATTAGCATGCTCTTGAATTAATTTGCACTAATTAATTCATCGTTACACATTTTAACTAAAAATTACAATCTTCCTGCCATCTGAAATTTGTAAATTTATTCAGACGCTTCATTCAGACGATTGAATATTATAAAATATTATAAAACTGATGATAAGTAAGATTCAAAAGCTCAAGAAAATAAAATACAAGATGTTGGTACTCTGTTTTCACGACGTGTGATTCATTCAATGGCGTTGCGATCGATCGATCGCAATACGACATCGGCTAGTCCTGCCAAAGAGAGACCGATCGGCCGGGAAAAGGCTTAATTAGCATTGGATCAATTAGCGGCGATTAGCATGCTCTTGAATTAATTAGCACTAATTAACACCTCGCCCGGAGTCCACAAACAGCCGGGCAAGGAAATCGAGTCTGGTGTCGCCTTTAATCGCGCTATTATCGGTCTGGCTTTCAACCACAATCATGACAAACGAGTCCCTTCTCGCTTTCTGCAATACTTTTGCCGTCTGTGTGCACCGCGTTGAACGCGATTCCTTGGTGGTAATTTTCTTGGAAGAAGGTGAAGGAAGATGAAGGACTCCCAGTTGCAATCCGTAATTTTCAATTTTGGATCTTATCGATATATTGAGAACCAAATCGGGGATTAAATAGTATTCTTCGAGGGATCGTCTGTAATTTATTTGTTATTAATTATTTAATAGTCATAATCACTTTGTGTGAATGTTTTTTTCTAAAAATTTCGATCGAGAAATTATTTTTTAACAAAATATTCTGTATAATTATTCTGTATCTGCGGATTTATTATTATACCCCATAATAAGTTGTTTTAAAGGCCAGGTCCTTTTTCTAAGACTTCAAACTAGTATTCGAAACAAAACGAAAAAAATCGATTTTTTGACTATTTCAAACTGTCCTTATCTATTGAAACCAAAAATAAGAGAAAAAAATGATTAACCAAAAGTCAATAATTATTCAGCGTCGCCCGTTTGAAACGAAGCGTTTGATACAGAGAGAAAGAGAGAGAGAGAGAGAGAGAGAGAGAGAGAGAGAGAGAGAGAGGGAGAGAGAGAGAAACTCGCGATATAGAGTTGAAACGTCAGATCGTTCAAACAGAAGAGAGAGGCTCAAAGAAGCAACAACAGATCGAACAAACGAAACCAACATCCCAATCCCTACTATTCTCGATCAAATCCGAAAGAGAAGAATGGAACAGAATTTGAACTACGACAAACAGAACCAAAATACACGACATAGCACATTATTTCTGCCAAAAAATACCAAACTACAATTTTAAGGAGAAAAGAAAGGATAGCTATGACTAGACTTCGAATCGGACACTCTAAGATCACACACAAATATAATACTGCTCCTAAGCAGAACAGAACCATCTTTCTGCAACACTTTCAACCAACAAATCACCACCCAACACCTGTTACATGAACGCAGAAAATACCTAAGCCTAAGAAGTAAATACGGATTAAACTCGAGCATCGCCCTAACCTGCCAGAAACACCAAAAAAAGAAAAGAAAAAAAAAAGAAAAAAAAGAAAAGTGTTATCATCTACCTAAAGGAGACCCAACTATTCGACCCAAAATATAAAAAGAAAATTCTAGCGACTCTAAACCCCAAACACACACAAAAAAAAAAAGAAAAGAAGAGAGACTCGCGAAAAGAATTTCGGACGTGCTTTCTCGACGGAGGTGTTGGAACGACGTTTCAACGATGGAAACCGGGGCAAACCGGTTAATTCATCGTGATCTGTCGTGGAGTTGATACGTGTTCCAACGATAAGGGTGGTGAAGAGGGGGAGGAGAGGGGGGGAGTTTGGGAGAAAAAAAAGCGAAAACGCGCGGAGGCTCTTATCAGCCCGGAAGCTATTAACCTGGTAAAACTTACTTTTCGTAGAACTGGGTTAATCATCTGTTCGGCGAGAGCCTCCTCCTCCCCCCTCCCACGTTGAATTACTCGATCTACTCGCCGCCCTAAATCCGAAATTCCGGGGCTCTCGCGTGCACGTTCCGCGCCTCCTGTAATTAGACGTTAATTGGCTGACCGGAATGGATTTTCCGATTGCATCGATCGATTCGAAACCGTTTGCTGGACTGCCGGAATGTTGGAAACGGCTGCTACTGCGCGTGACGCTCGAATTCCTGATAATTGATAGATAACTGCCGGCAATAAGGATGGCGTGGTATTGTAGTTAGGAGTATTTGACGAGTACGTACGTACGTATGTGAAACATATGATTGAACGCGCGTGTTCAATCTGATGTAGATTGTTTTTTTTATTCGAGTTTATGCTTCCTTTCGGTGGCAAATGCTGAACTGATTGATTTTGTAGAATCTGTTGAGATTTCATTTGATTGGTTCGGATATTATAAATATGGATGAAAATAGTAAAAGAAATGATAAATGATGATAAAATAAATAATAATCGTAAATGGATTGTATATGTGTATATAAATGATGAATGAAATAAATAAATGGTAATAATATGTAGTGAAAAAGTCGACGATTAAAGCGTAAAATTTCAATTGAGGACGTCAACGTTCAAAAGTAGAGATATTTTGTAATGTACACAATCAATGCACAAATAATGCATAATTTTATAATACAATATAATATATACAGAATTAATTTTATAATGCAATATAATATACACAGAATTAATTTTATAATGCAATATAATACACACAGAATTAATTTTATAATGCAATATAATACACACAGAATTAATTTTATAATGCAATATAATACACACAGAATTAATTTTATAATGCAATCTAATATACACAGAATTAATTTTATAATATAAATTAATTTTATAATGCAATATAATATACACAGAACAATATAATAGAAACATTTCATAATATACACAATTAATGCAGAAATAATATACAATTTTATAGTACAATAAATCGAGCAAGCTTTTTTTTTATACTTTTATACACTGACATTACGAAGTATCACTTAAATCTCTGAAATGCATTATCTCACATTTACAAAATTTTTATTAATCAAAAAATTATAAATCGGTCATTTGGTCCACGGTGTCAAAGCTTTTTCAGAATCTAAGAATTTGTATTCTATATAAAGAATCAAACAGCTCATCCCTTTTGTTATAAATAACGAAAGAAAGCAATTTTTTTTTGCCTTGTTGCCTCGTATTTCAATCGTTATTTTATAAATTGTATTTAAAACGATTACAAATTGTATTTATGTGAAATTATAAGTTATATTTATAGAAATTATAATCATTATATAATAATATTAATAAATTAATATATCAATATAAAAACAAATTATATTAATGCAAAATGATAAATTATATTTATAGAAATTATAATCATTATTTATATAATAATATTAATAAATTAATATATTGATATATCAATATACAATAAATCAATAATAAAAATTAATTATATAATTATATACAGTTATAACGAAATTGTATATAAATAATTATAACAAAATTGTATAGAATTGTTCTCGTAATTATATATAATTATAACAAAACTATACAAGTCAAGAATGATCCACGGTCTTGAATCGTTCAAGAATCTCCTTTCAATTTTAAAAAACTTGCTCCTTTATTTTTCGAAGCTCCGAATGTTTTTCTTTTAAAAATGTTGGAATTCTTCCAAGATTTCGCTAGAAGAGACTCGATCTCCGACTCGACTGAATGTTATTTCCTCCTCACCAAGCGTGTAAAGTTAGACACTCCCGAGCTAGATCCGCGCGCTTGATTTTTCTTAACGTTAAGCGATAATCAGTGTTCTGATCAGCGGAGTTAAACTACGTCGAACAAGGTCGATTCCCAAATGGGTCTATAATGGACCGCCAGGGAACTTTGTCTGCTATTGACGTCATTGGTGCTTGCAATTCTATCGAAATCCCTGAACAATAACCGATAATAATCGTTAGTCGTCGATTTTCAGACAATTCTCGAGAAATTATACGTTCAAGTTTCGAGCAAGCTTCTCCAAATTCGAAACGACAATAGAAAGCCTTGTATTATATTTGCAGCATGATTGAACACGTAACAATGAGAAATTGTTGGTATATTGTAAAAAAAAGAAAAAAAGAGAAAGAAAATTATAAGACAATCTACTTGCAAGAAAGTTTCGAAAATAATGAATTTTTTTACAATGCAATGTAGTTTTCATAAACAAATATTCGAAGAAATTTATTAACATTTACTTGCAAAAACTTAGCGTTGTTTCGGCTTAATACTGTTTTACTTGGAATTTAAATGGAAAAGAATATATGGTTCAATAGAAAAAGAAAATTGAGGTGACCTTGGAAATTTCGAAACTCACAAAAAATTGATACGCCATATTTTGCCTTTTTTTTAAAAAATCATACAACTATTTTCTGTTAAACGATTTTTTAATTGGAGTTACGTGAATCATCCTGTATATTCTATAATATATTTCGATTATGCGATTGTGTTCTGGTGTTATAAGAATACTTGGAATTCCTTTTCGTGACTCGGATATTAAAAGATGCTATTTATTACTGATATAAATTAATACAAAAGATAAATTAAATGGGTAGTTAACGAGTTAACTTTGCTATAAGTTATAAAAACGAGAATTTCATCCCACGATTCATCAATTGTTCTTGTAATTTACAGCGAATACCCTAGTGCACGTCGTCGAGGATACGCCACTTGAAGTCAGAAGGAGGATTCTCCAAACTGGTGAGTTATAAATATTAAAAATATTAATTAGAATTAACAATTGAGTATTAATATTATATTGAATATTAACCCTTGAGTATTAGATTGAGTATTAATATTAAATCAAGTATTGATTCTTAAGTATTAAAATTAATTTTCGAGTTTTAAATTGAATATCAATATTCAGTTGAGTATATTAATTCTTCAGTATTAAAATTAATTTTTGAGTTTCAAATTGAATATCAATATTAAATTGAGTATCAATTCTTGAGTATTAAAATTAATTTTTGAGCATTAAATTGAATATTAATTGGGTATTTCTCGAGTATTAATATTAATTATTGATTATTAATTCTCGTTCAAGTATTAATATTAAAAATATTAAATAATATTAAAACAATACTAAAAATATTAAATAATATTAAAATAATATATTATATTTATATTTATATTTATATTTATATTTTACATATTAAAATAATATATTATATTTATATTTATATTTATATTTTACATATTAAAATAATATATTATATTTATATTTATATTTATATTTTACATATTAAAATAATATATTATATTTATATTTATATTTATATTTTACATATTAAAATAATATATTATATTTATATTTATATTTATATTTTACATATTAAAATAATATATTATATTTATATTTATATTTATATTTTACATATTAAAATAATATATCAAAAATATTAATACTTGAACGAGAATAAAAATATTATGTTTTAATATCATTCCACTCGCACTAGAATATTATTTTCCGTGTTCGAAAGAACCAGTTTAGACCAAAACAAAAAAAAAAAAAAAAATAGCGTCGAATAGTATAATTTCCCATAAAATTCGTCTAGAACCGATGGTGTGAAACTCCCGTTCGTACCTGTTCGTTCCGAGCATAAACCTTTCGGTGTGAAAATCTCTGGTCTTTCCACGGGGAAGGATAGGGGGAAGAATACGGGGGAAGAGAGAAAAAAAAAAGAGAGTTTTGTGGAAACGAAGGCGAATCGTGGAGAAACGGCGAGGGACAGCCTGTGTAAAGAAAATAGGAGGAACGCCAAGACGAACGAGCCTCGTACGCGTCGCCGGCAGATGTTAACGATATGATTTATGAACTTTTCAAGTCCAAGCCCCTGGCTGGACACCACATCGCGTCTCGTTCCCTTTCGCACTTTGCTGACTTATTGACGGATAACTGTTTTCTTCTTTTTTTCTTTCGTTCGGGACTCTGTGCAAGTTTTCACTCTGTTCTACTTATTCTATCATCTCTGTTTCGGAAATATTTAGACACGTGGGGATCTCGGAGGAAATGTCCACAGTCGTCTAGAACACACGCTTTAATTTTCGAGACGTTGTGACTTGAAGTTCGCAACAGTCCTTATTAGGATCTCGGTGAAATTAAATAATGTATTGATAGTTTTTTGAATCTATGGAAATGGACAAAAATGTTCGCATGCTTCGTGAAAAATTATCTTTTTATTTGGTATTTTAATATTTTATTTAATACTCTATTTTATTTTATTTTATATTTTACATTTTATTTTATTTTATTTTATTTTATTTTATTTGATTTCATTTTATTTTATTTTATTTTATTTTATTTTATTTTATTTTATTTGATTTCATTTTATTTTATTTTATTTTATTTTATTTTATTTTATATTTTATATTTTATATTTTATATTTTATATTTTATATTTTATTTTATTTAAGCTTCGCGAAGCAAAATCGTACAACAGTCCAGTTGATCGCGTTTTAAAACGTAAAGCTTCTGTTTTTACTACCCTGAACTCGTTTCTTTTTTCCAAAATGTTCTCAAACATGGAGAAAATGGAAAAGTATTCTTTTCTTAAAAAAAAAAAAAAAGAAAAAATTGCAAAGTTCGCACATATGTAAAAACTTTAATTTAGGACTAAATTCAAATCACGGTCTGGAAGATTAAAGTTTCCCATTTACAGGAAAACTCTTTAAAACTTTTGCTGTACGATTTTCCCTTTTTTTTTTTTTTTTTTAATGGGATCTCTGCTTTACATCGAATTTCGTGTCAATGTTCTTGCAATCAACTCCCTTCGCGTAAATACTTCCACGTTGCGAAATGTTTGCTTTCAAAGGCAATGAATATTTTTCCATAAATAGGAATCTAAAGTTATAACCTGGGTGACCTAAGAGGCTAAAGGTTTCCTCTCGACTCCATTCATCGTTGAAAATTGATCGTATTTATCGCACTTGGTGTTTTCGTTTCACATCGAAGCATTTATTGAACTTTTTGCCACATCGATGTTCCAATCTTGTTTTCTCGTTATAGAGCACGTGAAGTTGGCAAATTTAAAAATTCAAGACGCTCTGTATAATATTCAACTCTCATCAGGAATAGAGATTCGTGTTACTGTTTCAATCCTTTGAACACATTTGTATGTCACGCTAGCGTGATGACAATACACATTTACTATAAAACTCTAACGTAATCTTCGATTTGGGTCTTGATCGTTTGCTAAGTTTCGTAAGTTTGTCAACAAAAGACTACAAAATAATAAACAAGTGAAAAAGTTGTGAAATATAAAGAGGAAAATTAATTATAAAAAAATAAATTGTAGAACAATAATAGTTAAATAACCGAAGAAGACATTGAGTCGTACGTTGATTTACGTGATTTATATTAAGATAGATACAAGTGGCAACAACATTGAAAGCAAAGGGTTGGTTGAAGAAACTCATCTCGAATATCAGACTAGTGGTGACAACATAAATACAAATTTATTGTAACTAACGTAACAAACCTTCGATTTGGGTCTTGATCGTTTGCTAAGTTTCGTATGTTTGTCAACAAAAGACTACAAAATAATAAACAAGTGAAAAAGTTGTAAAATATAAAAAGGAAAATTAATTATAAAAAAATAAATTGTAGAACAATAATAATGAATAACCGAAGAAAACATTGAGTCGTACGTTGATTTACGTAATTTATATTAAGATAGATACAAATGGCAACAACATTGAAAGCAAAGGGTTGGTTGAAGAAACTCATCTCGAATATCAGACTAGTGGTGACAACATAAATACAAATTTATTGTAACTAACGTAACAAACCTTCGATTTGGGTCTTGATCGTTTGCTAAGTTTCGTAAGTTTGTCAACAAAAGACTACAAAATAATAAACAAGTGAAAAAGTTGTGAAATATAAAGAGGAAAATTAATTATAAAAAAATAAATTGTAGAACAATAATAGTGAATAAGCGAAGAAAACATTGAGTCGTACGTTGATTTACGTTAAGATAGACACAAGTGGACGAGCAACAACATTGAAAATAAATCGATTTCAAAGGGTTGGTTGCAAAAACCTCACCAACGTTCGAACATCGACGAATAATAATTGTTTCACGCGCGTATAGCTCCGGAGGAAGATGAAAGTTTGCAAAGTAGAACGGGCAAACGTTACGTCCCCGAAGTTTGGGATATAGAATATTGGAAAAAGTGGCGCGCGTGCTATCGAGGTGTATAAAAATGGCAAAGGTGTGCCTGTAACAATACGCCACCGCAGGTGGGTAGCTTTAGAAGTTGCACGTAGTTCGAAGCTTTGCGTTCCAAATACGGAACGCCAGAGAAAGAGAAAGAGAGAGAGAGAAGACGGTGTATATTTGAAGAATGAAAGTTTCTTAGATGTACAGTACGTTCTGCAGACTGTAAGTACAGTTGTCAGTTGGTCGAAACGTTTCGTTTCGAAAGGAATATATACTTGAAAAAAACATGTAGCAGTAATTTTTTTTTGTTCTTTCAATTCTAACGCGTAATGCTACGTCTCAAGGATTCGAATATAGCGGGATATATGTGTACAGTAATAACAACTAGAAAACGAGTGTTCTTAAGCTTTCAAAGTTTGAAGATATCACTACCGTTCCTTTAAATGCAAGCGTCTTTTTGTTTTATCTCGCTGTCTCTCTTCTGCAACAATTTTCTCATTGGCTACAATAAAATACAGTGATGAGTGTCACTTGTTCTTTTATCTTTCTATACTATACATTTCCAAGAAACGAATTACGTCTGAAAATTTCTTAACAGCAAAATTTGTTAGCAGCAAATCATAAAAAAAAAAAAAAAAAAAATACCTAATACACGAATGCAAAAGTGATGTAAATCAATTTTTTGCCTTAATTTGGTTTAACATTGTGTTTCAAAAGTAGAAGTAGTAGTACTTTATGTAAAAGTGTATTGTATCATGTAGAAATGTATATAGAAATATAAAGTAATATATAATACAATACAATATTAATTATTATTATATAATACAATATTAATATTGTATATTAATATATAATATTAATATTGTACATTAATTACATTATTATACTAATAATATTACAATATATACATATGTAACATATAATATAAAATATGTTAATATACGAGCCGTTTATTTCGAAAGTGGTACAAGTCACTTTTTTTTTTTTTTAATCGAAATATTTAATCGTCTGTATTCTAACCCCCTTGTTGCGCTGGCAACTGGTTTGCGGACCATAACGAGTGACCGAACCGTACACGATAATTCGTCGCTTTCTTTTTCTTTTGAACTCGTCGGTATGATGATCACTGGACAGAGATTAAGAGTGTGATAGCAGGATGATGATAGTAATAAGAGCGATAGAATTAAGAAGTAATAAATTTCATCATTTGTTTTACCTAGATTATAACATTTAAACATATTTGAAACTGAGAAAACTGTTGCAATTTGGTACAAAAAGTGCCAGCTTGTATCAATAATAATTCGCGCTAACTTATTTCCTTTCCTCGGTATAAATAATAAATAACGTTGCATATAGGTAACGTTAACGTAAGCTGACGCTCAGTATAAAGTGACTTGTGCCTTACAACTTTCAAAATAAGCTTCTCACGTAATGGCACAAACGTATGAATATAACTCTACAATGGTTCGCACGAAAGAATTGTACAACATCGTTCGACGAATTGTTGAATTTCACATAACTTTTATTATTTAATTCGTTATC